CGGGCGGACTTAGCAGTGCCAGTCTCAGCGCAACAGCAACTGCAGAGCGGAAAGCGCTTTGGTGGCATTTGACAATACTCTCGATCACGCGGGGGGCCTCTGTGCAGAGAGAGAACTTGCTTCCGATCAGCCACTGGCATCTCTATCGGACAGACCTTACTCCTTTTTCCCAGTTGTGAAGTTGGTGGGAAGTGAGACAAGTTGAAGCCTATACAACCGACCATGCCATTTCTTCTTTTCCGACATTTCATTAATTACGTTTAATTATGATTAATATTAAACTGAAATGTTCACTAATCTCGGGTAACACGTATGGGATAATTATGTGAACAAACCCATCCGTTTCATTCCTCAAACCATTATATGAGTGTAGGCTTTTCATGTTTTGGTGTGGAAAAGCTTAATCTTCACATGAACATCAAGAGCCCATTAGACTCGTATTAATACAGCCCTTTACGTATTAATTAATTACAAATATGGTATTATGTCCAAAGGTTCCCAGAATGACAATAATTAGAATCGCTTTCTTGGACACGTAGATTGGCGTGGGCGCCAACACCAGTGTCAAAATCGTTCATCAGCCGCTTCAGATGCCTGACTGCCCATCAGTTCACCCATCTGTCGTAACTGATCCGTTAGCCATTCCATCCGTCTGTCCATCTATCCGTCGTGTCACTCGGTTCGAATGTTCGACCGTCAGTCATTCGTTCGTCCGCCCATCATTCATTCGTCCGACCATCATTCATTCGTCCGACCATCATTCATTCGTCCGACCATCATTGATCCGTCCGACCATCATTCGTCTACACGTCATTCGTTCGTCTGCCCATCATTCGTTCGTCCACTCATCATTCTTCCATCCAATCATGCTCCCCCATTCGACGATCTTCCAGCCGGCCATCATTTGCCCGACTCCCCCTCCCCTCTCCGCCGGACCGTCATTCGTTCATCCGTGTGTCGGGTGTTTCCACCTCCCCCGTCGGGAAAGGGCCGCGCCCTGTGGTTAGACGCCACCGTAATCGGTCCGCAGCTGTCACCAGCTGCCTTGCCTCCGCCACGCCCCCTCAACGGGACGCGACGCGACAGAACGAACCGACTGAGAACGTTGCATAAGGACGGGGATCCAACTGGAAACGTATTAGACGAAGAAAGTGTTCCAAACGCGTGAAACGCTTTGTCGTGACCTGAGCGCGTTCCCCCAATTGAAGAGCCACCGTGAAAGTGGGATTGCGCAGTTCCGATTACAACACTGTCGCTATTTTCACCTGCAGCACTGGTGATAAGGAATACGAAATCCCTACCGTTCATGTTTGGAATTATTTCAGTAAACTACAATTATTAACGAAGAATGATATCCAGTGCTACAATCATGTTTTTTCTTTATGTATCAATGTATGGAGTGTGTGTGTGTGTGTGGGGGGGGGGCTACCGATGTAACGTTCGACCGACTTGATACTTTATTTTAATGAATTCACGCTGAATTCAACATTTATTTTATTTCTAGTTATTTATAACACATTCAACTGAGATATTGGATGACTTCCGTTACTCCAGATTATTAGTTAACACAGTATTTGCGAATTTGTCTTCGGCTTCAAGGTGCTGATTGCTGAATCTGCGTGGTCCCCCACTCTTGGGTGAAACACTAATTACAGCCCTTTTCACGCGGAAAGTAAGAAAATACACTTACTTTTCCAAACAACTAAAGACAAGTTTGCCGCGTGAACACAAGTTAACAATTTTCCCGATGTATTAAAACGTATTTCCTTTTCCTGTAGCACTAACTTTCTTATTATATGTCGTTATATGAGTTAAATTCCATTTATGAAGTCGAACAACACTAAAAACTCGCTTTTCATCGTCTTCACCTGTTATTACTTCCTGGCGCGAACGAGCGTAATTGTAGTGTGATTCAATTGTGCGCGCAAAAAGCGCTTTGTCTGGGGCGAGGCGTCGCGTCGCGCCTGAAGCGCGGAAGAGGCAAAAAGCCAAGAGCTGCACACGAGGAAGCCAAGACGACCCTTCCTTCCCTCGGGCTCTCCTGAGCAGGACAGGGACGGACCAAGGGGGCAGGGGATGGGGAGAGGAGTCTGGACTGAAACAGGAAAACGAACAAGGATGGAGGACTGCAAATAAGAAGAGCACGATGATCAGTTAGCAGGACGCGTCAGGACATAATGGCGTCGATTGGACGAATAGAAAGGAAAATGTGATTTGGGGGCGCGTAAGCACGTGCGTTTGATTTTCTCGTACTTAAAAAAAATGATTACCGCTGATGAGAACTCCTACAGAATACCCATTCACCGATTGATCGACGTTCGAAGCCGGGGCCAGAGTTCGAAGCCGGTGCAGAGGAGGAGACCAACCACTGCACTAGGTTCGCGCGTTGGCTGAGCTACCGGGTGGCTGTGCCGTTGGGTGGCTGAACTGGGTGAGTGGTTGGGTGGATAGATGAGTGGTAGGTGGGTAGACGAGTGGTAGGTGGGTAGACGAGTGGTAGGTGGGTAGACGAGTGGTAGGTGGGTAGATGAGTGGTTGGGTGGGTAGATGAGTGATGGGTGGGTAGATGAGTGATGGGTGGGTAGATGAGTGATGGGTGGGTAGATGAGTGGTTGGGTGGATAAATGAGTGATGGGTGGGTAGATGAGTGGTGGGTGGGTAGATGATTGGAGGGTGGGTAGATGAGGGGTGGGTAGGTAGATGCATGTGGTTCCCTTGCCGGACTCCCAGGTCGTCCCAGTCAGAGGCACAGCAGTGACACGAATTGACGCCCTGAGCCACCTTTGCCGCATCCACCCACCAGCTTACCCACCCTAGGTCTTTAGAACCGTAGGTTGGTGGGCGGGTGGGCGAGCGGGTAGTAGGTGCGCCGCGCACCGCAAAACTGCCCTGCTGGCTTTTTCGGGCGCCTCTGCCCCGCTTCCTGGGCGGCGCGTGGCCGCAGGCGGGACGCGCCACAGCCACCGGCCGCAGTCGCTTCCCACGAGGCGCTTTCCTCCTGCCCGCAAAAAGGAGCAACGGCGACCCGGGAAAAAGACAAAAGAAACCCCCTCAAAAGAGAAAAGATGCGACGTGCTTTGGCGTAGAGGGAAGTTGAAAGATTATCTCGTCTTGTAGTAATGTTGTGATAATAGGGATGTGTAGCCACAAGGCATTGGTTCAATGAGGGGTTGGTATTCGAATAGTATAGCGCGCCAGGAAAGTCCCTCTGTAGCAGCAATTTGATGGTGACAGTGCTTGCAACAGAAATTATTTTGGTTGCTGACTTGCAGCTTGAAACGCAGCTTAAATTGCATATTCACCACAATCATAATAGATGCTGGAAGTGTTCTTCTCTTCAGTTGTTTCCTAGTCACCGCGTTGCTACCACAATAAATGCCATTTTTAGTAGGAGGACTCTGATTCGGCTCAGTGCGGAGAGACTTTCTTGGCCCACTGTAGTTTAAATAAAAGTTATTGCGATTACCAACATTTCTTTTATTTTTATGATTTGTAGCTTTCGACAAACGAGCCAACATCTTCAGGTTTGCCAACTGGAAGCCAGAAATTCGACTCTTTTGTATTTATTGTTATTGATTTAGTTTTTATATTTTAATTAATTAATTCAATTTTATTTAACATATACCTTCAAAAAACGAAAATAAACCAGTTATACTTTATGAATTCTCGCATTTTCCAAAATCAGATGGCGTTTGTCGTTATTGTCGTTTCCGAGTTTATTTCATGAAACATTTCACGCAAGGACAATTACTTCCTTTTTCGTTACTAATGGAGAATTTGACTCATCGCTCTGACAGGCACCTCCCTTCTCCTTACCGCCTTCTCCAATGATTCATCTCTATTTCCTCAATTAGATCTACCTACTTTTAAAGAAACCAGTTTTTTTGTTCGTTTCTACTTCTTGCAGTTGTTTCAATAAAAATCTTCGATAAACTTTTGGTACGCACTTCATTTAGTATTCAAAATTGACTTACATTTACTACTCACTAATGATCATTCCACATTTCCAATGTTGGCTTGTGTGTTTTCTCTTTTTTCTGACTGGTTCTCTACTTCATCTACTGAGTTATCAAAGCTCTCGGGCGTATGAAGGCAACCCCCAACTTTTTCATTCGTTTTGCAAACAAAACATCAGCAAGTTCATGAACAACTCGCCGAATGCAATTGTCAAAAGACATATGTGGCTTAGGTGAGAAACGAACTTCCTATACTGCTGTAGTCACTACATCGCAGGGTTATTCTCCCATAACTAATTGGATACCGACTTTCTGCCGGATTCCCTCCTTCACCGAAAAGTATGAAATCTCGTTAGCTCTTCAATAGAAATGCTTTTCAGTTCCCTCTCTTAAGGTTCAATACATTCTACTCAAAGATTAATTTTCTTAATACGCTATCCATTAGTTTTAAGACAGTAAATTTTCTAGAGTTTTCACATTATGTTCAATCTACTTCATAACCAACCTACACACAATGGTCAGTTTTACAACATTAAATTGGCTCACGTCCAAAGATCATATAAAGTTACACGCCGAAGAAGTGAATTTCTCGTTTCTAGTGTTTCCCCACGTTGGCAGTGCTCCCGGGGAAGTCTTTGTTCTGCTCCGAACGCATCGCCCAGGGGAAGCGACGCCTTTGGCGCTGGCAATTGGAATCGTAACGTCCGCCTGCAGCGGATCCGTTTCGCAAGCGGGCCTCCGGCGCCTCATAACTTCCCCCTTTCAACACATCTCCGAACTTCCAGCACGCGCTGGTGCTTTTGTTGCAAGGGACGACGGGCACGCCACTTCTGCGAACATTACCACACGGTGTTCGTTAAGAAAACAGAATATTACTACATCATTGCCCACTGCTTGCAACTGTATTTTTGATTTATCTGTGCGATATTACCGAATTGCAATAATCTCTAGATTTTTTACGAAAATGTGATGATTTGTTTACTTATTGCAATGAGAAAGATATCATCGTTAAAAAAATTCCAACAAAATTTTCAATCACTTATTTCATGTCAAATATAGCATTGAACAAGGAAAAAGAAGAAAAGATCGCATGCGGTCCGTGGCCTGTTTGTTAGGGTACTGTTCCGGCATTGGCCTGGTGGTGATCGGAGACACCACGGAAATCAACCGATCAGAGCAGCCGATCGCCAGAATTCTTCTCGAGTGACAGCGGCTGAATTCGTCCTAGCTACGTCGAGACCTAGAGTCGAGAATCCTGCCACACTCCTAGGCCCTCCCGGTCAGAGGCACTGCAGTGACATGAATCGGTGGCCTGGGCCATCTTTGCCGGTGTAGGCGCTCGGGAATGAATGCGCCTTATTGTATCAGCATCTAATAGCAAAGAAGGGCGCCGGGGAGGAGCGAGTCAGTGGTCCCGTTAGGTCCAGTTCGCACGCCACAGTTCGCGGCGGCGGCGGCAGAGCGCGTGCGAAAGGGGTCTGGGACGCGCCTCCTCCGGCGGCGATTGGCAGGCCGAGGGGGGGGGGAATCACCCTCTTCCCTCCTTCGCAGTAGTTTAATGTACGTTTTGACAATTTGGCTTAAGCGTTTCGGGTATCGATAACACCGCACTAAATGCTTGTGAATTTAGACGCACATACTACTTTCACTTTTAGTTTTACGAGGTTGCAATCTTGTGAAAGAAGATTCTATCAATATGATTTGTATTTGCATTTACAATTGGCGCTGACACGAACAGTTTTATTTTTTAGAGGTCGATTACGTCACTCTGTAATCGCTAGCCCTATATTAATAGATTACAATGATCACTGTTTCCGCGTAGCATTTTTGAAGTTATGCAATTAAGACGGAATAAATGAGAACTATAACACGAAGAGTACAAGTTATTTCAGACGAAGACAGCCAACAACAATGATGACATATCGTAGATCCGGCGAAAGGCTGCAAAATGGGAAGACAAGTACGGAAATCCGCGCAGTTTCAGAAATAGAAGAAACTTTGTTTCGGTTCGGCTCCTAGCACCTCCGCCATTCATTTCCGGAAGCAGAACGCCATTCTGATGGCTCTGCACGAAACATGGTGGCAGATGGTGGGGCGTCTGCACTTCCCAGATCGCCTCTTCACGTAGATTAATCTACATTAATTTTCCCTTCTTCCGCAGACGGTGGTTGCAACGTTATTGATGACGATGATTCAGCCCCTTGGACTAGCAATAGCGAGATTCAGCGTCTTGGACAAGCAGCAGCGAATTTTCCAAAAAAAAAATATGTATAACGTTCAGAAATATAAGACGTGCACTACATTTTTGGGCTATGTTAATGACTGTTGTGATCTTGGGTTCGTTTCTATGTGTACTTTGGCGTTTTAGTTGTGACAACACATTGAAAAAAACAATAGAGTTACCTTGAATTAATACGGCGAAGCATTTAGTAGGGTAGGGTTTCCCCAGTTACATGGTTCAGCGTTTTAATTAGAAATGACAATATTTTATAGCCTAAAGTCCATTCATTTCACAAAAGCATTTTTCGCCATTACATCGAAACGTGATTACAGTTGTGTGCAACAGAATTTAGTTTTAAGATCTATAGAAATGTAAATTCACTGAATGATTTATTAGATGGAATGACAAAATATATCAAACCCGTCGCCTCTACTCTCGCGAAGGAATTGCTTTAAGAAAGCTATTAAGTAAACAGTGCAGACGCAGGCAGAGAAACGAGTTGAGAGCATTGCCCAAGAAAGCGAAGGCACGGGCAGGGTTTGAAAACCATGGAATACAAACTCATCCATCTGAGTATCGATTCTCATCTCCCTGGGCAAGCCTACATACGAGGAGCGGAGTCCAAACAGAGCCACTGGTGAGCGTGGGGCGTGTAGCGTGGGGCGTGTAGCATGGGGCGTGTGGCGTGTGGTGTGGGTCGTGAGGCATGGAGAGTGGGGCATAGGGAGGGGCGGGGAGCGAGGGGCGAGGTACGTGGGGCGTGGAGCGGAGGCGATGGGTGAAGGAGGCGGCGGAGGGGTGAGGCGGGGAGCGACAGACGCGGTTAGGGCCGACCGGCGAAGCGTGCAGTTCCCCTCGCTTCCCCGCCCCCTTCTCTTCCAACGCCACCTGTTCCGGGCGCTTCGTGCTCCAGCACCTCCATCGCTGGGCGATGAGCAGCCAGGACGTCCCTCCAGTCTGCGTGCACGCTGCTTCTGGACAAATCTGTCCTTCGCCCAAGAATTCTTAGCATTTGCTCAGCTTGGGAAGGTGCTGCATCTTCCAGTATTTTTATTTAGTTATTATATTTACAGGAAAGTGCAATTGGCCTCGGCGCGCTTAGATCCCAGGTTTCCTAGACGGTCACCCAACGAGGAATTCACGATGTCTCGGATTCGCTTATCCTTCGTGCCTTCACGTAGTTATCGAATTTGGCTAGCAACGCCGGTTTTGCAGTCGTTGCCTTTCAGTTAAACCATTACAGAATTCGCCTGAGTGACCGAGGGAAACCACGAAATCCCCGGTCAGGATGACAGGCACGGGGACTGAACCCGGAACTCCCGAATGCGAAGTAAGCGCGTCACTTCGTCGGTGTCTTTCAGTATACTCGTCTACAAAACTTCAAAATAGAATCTCTCGTGTAGCCACAAATCTTCCTAATGATCAGATCTTGGAATATATCCAATCGTCAAAAAGACAACTAAATTACTTCCTTCTTCTCACGCTTGCCTTCGGTCGAAATAGTCTATTGTGCTTGGGAACTGACTATCGATCACTGCTATTCCAGGATCGCTTCCATCTTCACCGCTTTCAATTCTTGCCTATTCTTAATAACACTGACTACTTTCCCATCCTTAATTATCTTTTATTCTACTACATTTCCTCTTTCTCCAGAATTACAATTTCTCACTCATTAAAAATAGATTTTGTTTCTGCCGGATGAAATTTCTTGTTTGTTCGTTGATATTCGACTCTCTTATCACACAAACCTGAAGAGGTGTACCGCTGGAAAGCTACAAATTTACAAAAAAATCATTGTGAGTGGGCCTTACTAATTATCAAAGCGCTTACGTCGCATCAGATCCCACGCAATGGACGTGATTGTTATACCGGCTCTGTCGTGGGAAAATGGAACATGTCAGCTCTTCGTACAATTTTCGCTTGAAAGAATTACTTGACCGAACCTTTCGCTTGACCGAACTACGGTACAACATTCTAATCCCCTTCAGGCTATTCTTCGTATTATTAGAGATTTACAGAAAGTGTCGAAAAATTGACCAAAGTTAATAAGCTCCACCTTAAATATTCCCAACGACAGATTTTTAGTGAGATTTTTGACTATATATTTATGATTTCATTGTTATCGACAATAATGCAGTGAGCTATGTTACACAAATAATATAACACATTTAAATTTTTTCAACAAAGACCCTGAACTTTGCAAGCATAATTAAAACGCGTTTATAATTTTTAATTTTACAACCTCTACTTTGAGAATTGTGAATTGTTTATTAACCCATTAATGCCTTGCTTATTCGTTTGAGTATCCATACTTCTGAACAACACAAAGTTGTTTCTATTGTACTAATAAGGAAATTTTATTTCTTCAATAGACGTACACTTCCTTAAGGTAGACGTGTTATTCAGTTTTGGAGTTAATGCATGCTAGATGTATATTTAGCCGAGGTCGCTAAAGCTATGCGTAATGTAATGCGTAATGCACGCCCCAGACCAGGATGTTGTCATGAAACTGCACGCACGGGTGCGACGACCGCGGGCGAACGCTAGGCGAAAAAATTATGTCGGTTGTGAATGGGTTAATGTGGGAAGTCATTTATGCGCCATCATGCCCCCTCCAAAAAAGAAAAAACAATAACAGCCGACAGAATCTCATGCTGTATTACACGACAAACTAGCAAAGCGCATCACTTCTGCTTTGGGACCAAACAGGTCTACGCAGATCAAAGCGATAGCATATGAAGATGACCACTAACTCACGATTTCTTGATAGCAGAGAGCAAGAAGACGATTGCTTCTCATGAAGTGCGATCAATTACCATTAAATAGTGATGTTTTGTGGGAGGGTTATATCAACGAGTATAGTGAGAAAGATAAAATTTATACAATTGGACCACCAGACGAACTTGTTGATATTTATGATGATATTTTGTTAGATTCTCTGTAGAGAATAAAAGCATAATAAAATGTTTCACATTAAATTATACATAAGATTCAAATGTTTTCTTAGTAGGTAGCACTTCGTAGCTGATAATACTGTAGGACATTTGGTGATTCTGCAAGTTGCATTTAAACATTAAAAAGCACTAAATATTTTAATTTTTGGGTTGATCAAAGTGAGATGTTTTGCCAGTAGTACTTCAAGCGTCATATTTCATCTAAAAAAACAAGCGATTCATTTTGCGTAAGTCATTAGAAGGGAAGTAAATTTAATTCATGGTCTGATTACTGATTTCAAAGTTAACGCGTGTTTCTTAAGGCGGGTAGGATTTCCCACCAGGTCGACGTGCGAGTGTTTCGACCCTCACGCGAGGGTGAATGGCGGGCGCAGGGACGCGTCGAAGTTGCGTAAGCGGCCACTAGGGTCGCAGCGTCATTTTGTCGTCGCCGTCGCGACGCGCGTCTCACGTCACGCCACTCGCGAGAGGCAGGTGTCACGTGCGGTGACACGCGCGCACCTCGCTCGAAAAGTTCTTTTATTGCTTTCTCATTGAAGTCGGAAACAAAATTACTCGTATTAAAAGTAAAATGTCCGTGCTTTACATGTGTTAAAATGCGTAAATAGTCAAAAGGAGCCTGAATATCACTTGATTGAAAATTTGTGACGAAGTACTAGTACCTAGAGTTGAAATCCTGACGGGAGCGGGGCTATTTGTGTTTACCTTCAATTCCACGCAGTTCACTAGATTTACAGCCACTCGTCGATAATCAAATATATAGCCGATTGAGAAGTCCGAAGAACTTAGTAAGCACAGGAAATAACTTCACGAGTCGTCATTGCCAACAATAATGTTTATTACAATAGCAGCTTTCGATGGCTTAGCAAACATCATCAGTTTTCTAACTGATGATTTTCTTAGAAAAACTGACGAAGGCTAAGCAAGACAAAAATGCCGGCGGCAAAAGCTTGTAAGTATTCATATGAATAAAGAAAGAATATCATTTGTTTGGTCTAACGATGATTATATTTAAAAAAATGCAAGAAGTTGATTGATTCAATAGGCTTGAGTCGTTAATAAATGCTCCAAAAGGGTGTGCCAAGTATTAATAACGTTCTGTAAATTAGTTTTCACGTAGTTGGCAAGTAAATGTATTTCATGTAAATGACACTGTGTTTACATTAATATGTGCGTGTGTTTACATTAATGTGCACAAGGGTGCAGGTTTCATAGACCCGCAGAATCGGCCTAGGGCGTTGACATTTGGATCTGCTTGTGTTGATCACGTGCCGATGCTCGCCGGCTCCTCCGCGTCTTCGCGGCGCCGGGGGCGGGGGCGAAGGCGGGGGCGGCGCGGTCGCACGCGCTTATGCAACGGGCGCGTTTCTCCGCGTCGAAGCGCGCCGCCCGCGGTGAAAACGTGGGTCGCGTTTCGCGGCGCGCGGTCGCCCGGCGATTGTTCCGCCACGGCCCCCTGCGACGCGCTCCGCGACACCCGCGGCGGCGGCACCGCGACTCGGGAAGGCAATTTACGCTCACAGCATGCGGTTGTTATTAAACAAGTTCTGATGCAACTGGGTGGACGACGAGTGTTAAACAAGTGGGCTGGATGGTTGCAAGAGTGTCACGCGGGTTCTTACTCTACTAACTTATGAACAAATAGTCATACCACTACTGGTCCTACAACAGCACACACTTTCTCGTAATATTTGCGAACTGTTACCTATTATTGTTATAAAACGAAAAGGCGAGAAGGGGGCCGAAATACGAGATCACGAACACGTGCGCCGATTTGATTGGCTCTGGAATATTCATTTGCAGGCAGATTGAAGGCTGTAGTATAACTGATTCCTTGACGTCTGGTAGGTGGTACAGTATTTCACCTTGACCTAATTAATCCAGCAGAAATAATACTGTGATCGAGAGGATCATAACAATAGGGTATCTACAACTAATAATTATTAATGAGTTTTCTAAACATTACCCTTTACTGGAGGCTGATACAAATGCTACAGCAGACGATGAGTTTCCAGGTCATTAAGGACAAACAATAGCCGTATTTTCCAACTGTACTTGTCAAATTGTAATTGGATCTGTACTCGATTATAATATAAACAATTTACTGGAACAAGATGTTGAAACTTCTCAAACATAAATATATTGGTACAAAACTATCCTTATTGCGATTTTAAAATGTGGCACTATGACGAATGTTCACTGAAACCCGAAACAAAGAATTATTAAAAAAGAAAAATGAAGTGAAAACTTTATTTTGATTTACATTTTTTTATGTTAATATGAGATTTGTATGAATTTTTTCTATGTTCTGGTAGTTATTCTATGAATGCTCATGCTTGTGTTTTGGCTGAAAAGTACATGGTTGTTGTTTTTGTTGTTTTTTTCGCATTATTTAGAGGTCGCACGAACAATACGTTTATAAGAGGGCAATTTCTTGATTCTCCCACATCGTGACTTTCCCGAGCTCTCTACACCTGCCATCCGGCCTTGCGATGCGGGCTGTGAAACATCCGAAAAGGCACGTTGGCAACGCTCGGCGTGCGCGTGACAGGGACGTCTTGTCCTGGCGCCATTGCGGCAAAATCCCGACATAAATCATGTGCTGACCGCCCGGAACATGAAAAGAGGCGCGTTCTTTCAATTTGAAGGACAGCGACGTCTCAAAGAAATTGTTTTAATGAACCTTAGCAGCTCCAATTCATTCATTGTATCTTCAAGATATAGAGTGGTGATTCATGGAGAATGGAATTTATCAAAATGAAGCAGATTTTGTCGAAAGCAAGTAGGCGCACACAGTATTTTCTGTTCGAATCAGCTGGCATACCGAGATAGGAACAGCGATGTGATGCATCGTACACCACGTTGGCAACGTTGGCAACGGATGGAACGTATCTGCGCTGAAAAAGATAGTCCTGAAGGTGTGTCTTGTGTCCTAATCGGCGCAAAATCACAATTCATTGCATAAGAAAACTGCAGTTGACATTATCGACAAGAAAGAGTTTGAGATAGTGGAAGTTTGATAGATTACGACGTTGGAGCATTCGAGCAAAGACTTCTCAAATTATCAAATTTCGTGATCAATTAAACAATTGTGGTACTTTCTCCTGGTTCAGTGGAATGTTTTTTGCGCTTTTCTCTCAATACATTCATCTCTCTATTTTATCAATAGATACATAATCCGAGCACCCAGATATGCTTTTCAACTGGTAAATATTCCATGTGATAGTACAGATTTCGTACAATTTAGATGTATTAAGATATATTCCGTTTAGATGCACTTCTTTTTTATCAAACAGGAAACATTAGGACACATCGCCGCCCGCAGCACCAAGTGTTACGGGCAGCGCAAAGGAAGAAGCAAACAGCTGCTTACCGAGATGCGAGGAGTGACTGCGGCGGCGGGGCGGCGGCGGCGGCGTCTGGGCGTCGGCGGGCGCGTATTCTTAGCGGCCTCCTGTAAACAAGAGCGGAAACTGAGGACGAGGCGGTGGAGGGGGAGGCGGAGGGCCGCCGGCGTGGCCCTCCAGCGAGGAGGCTGCGTTGACGCCACGTGACCAGCGACGCCTGCACGACGCCTCCCGCATCCGTCGTTTTAATAGGTTTTGTTCATTATTGTTAGGCCACTATGCTCTTAACAGAAATGCACGGCAAGTCCAAAGGTTGTAGCACGTTTTGTAGCCCAACACACATTCAGCTACAAGAATGTATTTGACATATAATGAAAATGTCGGAGTTTTTTATATCACTACGTGACAGAGGAATGGTAGTATAAACCGTTAATTTGTTTGTTTGGATCACATTTTAATACGTAAAAATTAGTTATTTTATGCATCAAGTCTGTTAAACACTAGAGAACGCACAATTAAGGAGCGTGGGCAAAGATTTTTATCATAGTTGTGCCAGCAGCCACTACAAAAAATCTGACAGTGAGTGCACTTTTGTGTACAGAATTAAAATGTGACGAGTTTAAAAAAAAACGACAAATGAAAATTATCACTCCTCCACGAATTCAAATGCACATTTCAACATCAACACTTTAGATAGGAGTACATTATCCTCCCTTTGAGGCAATATTACACAAGTCCAAGAGGAATTTGATGCTTGTCACAGTTGACACCTCACTACTACGTATTAACGTATACGTATACTTATATTAACGTATTAACGCTACGTATTAATATTACGTATTAACGTATACTTATAGTATTATACTACGTATTAAAAACCCAGTCCTTTGTGAAACATAAAACTAAATTACGAGTCGACTAAGGTTAGCGGCTACGAAAAACCCGTCAAATAAGAGAACTGTAAATGAAAATAGGTAGGAAGCAGGTTTTCAAAACACACGTGCGTCAGTCGAAGTGGAATGTATCCATACGGAGACAAAGGCGACCGCGGAGCGACGCGGACGCTCTCCCGCGGCGGGCGCGGGCGTCGGCGCGCGGCAGCGCCGGGGGCACTTTCGCTGGCGAGCGGGCGCGCAAGTGGAGCACTCGGACGCGACGCGGGGCGCCGCGGCGCCGCCGAGCGAGACGCGACGCGGCCGCTCCCGGCGCAACCCACGGCGGCGCGCGCGGAGAGACTGAGGGGGGCGGAATCCGCCGCGGGCGCGGGCGATGGACGCCGAGTGGGTGGCGTCGAAGTCGAACGAAGCGAGATCCAGCGGAAGTCGAAAAAGCCGCGGATATCGATGATCGCGGATGTTGGAGCACGAGGATGCCCAAAGACACCGTAGATGACGGGGTGCAAGGACGCGAGTTCAACAAATATTGGATCGTAAACCTCTTTCGAATGGGGCAGAGGAAGGATCAGCGATGCCTGTGGCGGAGAAGAGAACAGCAGGTATTAAACACTATAGGAGAGAGTGCGATAGGTGGATGGCATTGAGGCGAAGTGGAGCCGATCGCGTGGAAGGCAGTTGGTCGACTGAGGGCTGAGCGTGCAGACTCCGCGTGAGCGCTGCGCGTCGCACTGCAGCGCCAGACGCGCACGTGCGCCCCCCCCCCCTCGCCCCACGCACGCGACGGCCCTGTCGCCCCGGTCCCCGCCCCCGCCGCCGGCGCTATTTCGGGAGCAGCCTCCGCGGCCCTCGGGCGAACGCCGCGCTCCTCACGCGAGGGGCTGCGACAAATGGAGAAAAGCTTGCGGAGCACGACGAAGAAGCAATACGAGCAAGTGGTTTGCAATAATTTTAAATAAACTGTTAGTGCTACGACCGAGCCAAGTGGCTCAGTGCGTACGCGCTGACTACATAATCGACAGCTCGATCTCCAAGCGGTCCATCGTGACAGGCGTTTTGCGTGGTTTCCCTCGGTTATAATGCGAATGATGTACTGAGTCAAAAATGCACCGATTATCTCCCCCAAAATGCAGATGTAAATGGTACTACTAATGGAGTTCCTACCAAACTAAATGTAACTTAAATGGTACAACTACTTTTACTTAATTTTAATGGGTTGATACGACCTAAATTTCCAAGTTCGGGATCCTCGGTCCAGACTGTTGGTATAGAAGTAGATAAATACCCCTAGCCCTTTATGTGTAATGCAGACAGTGTACAGGTAACATCACACTGTTTCAACAATTCAGTTAATTAAAAGCCAGATGTACTATTTCCGGTTATGGACACGTGCTAACTAGAGAGCAATTAACATTTGGACGGTAACAAATGGGTTGTTTACTAACACCTCCGTTGTTGTGGGAGCATATTCACAATGCTTCCCCTTCAGTATGACCTTGCTAAGAAAGACTGATGCATAACTTCTACCATGTTAAATACTCAATAACCTTACGAGTGAAGGAAACAAAACACAAGCACACAAAATAATGTTTGAAATGGTTGACGAAAATTATATTGCAAAGAAAAAATCGTATATGCAATAATTCCGAATGTTGAACAAGCAAATAACATGTTCTCGAATATTTTGAATGCGCATTCACTTACTCGTATCATTTTGGTTTGGTAGCGTTGAGGACGAATTGGCAAAATGTGGTGGTTTGTGAATGATAACTGACACGGATGGTGTCAACTGTTTAAGGTCGTTAGTCCCGTAAATGTAGTGCACGTTTTATTGTGGGAGTTGGCAGAGATCTCCCACTGGATGGCGATATCCGGCGTCGACCTACCGTCAGCTAGCGCTTTTCCCTAACCAGTTATCTCCCACCAGACGAGCACCGCCCCAGTCGGGACAAGCTCTAAGCTCCCGAATGGTGTTCCGGTATGTGTGCTAGAGCAGTACATGTCAGTGTGTGTAAGTAAAGGGTGAGGATAAGACAAAGAAGAGAAAGGTTAGATTGAGAGCGGTCCGTGGCCCGTTTGTTAGGGTACTGTTCCGATATTCGCCCTATATTGAGCACAGAAACTACAGAAAACTATCGATCAGTGCAGCCGGCCGCTAGAATTCTCCTCCAGACTGCGTCTGAATTCGACCTAACTCGATACCTAGTGACGAAAATCCTGCCAGCGTCGGGAGTGAAACTCTAGGACCAACCGTTCTGAGGCACTGCAGTGACATGAGTTGATGCCCTGAGCCACCGTTCCCGGTAAATGTGGAGTGGGGGGCAGTGGGGGAGGGGAAAGCGGCGGCGCTCCGGGGTAATGGCTGCGCCGCGGCCCATCAGATGCACGCCGCCGCAGCCCCGCCCCTCCGTATCCCGCGCCGCCCCGGCCAGATCAGGTCCTAGAGCATGCATAATGCCCCGCAGGAGGCTGCTTGGCAGGTCCTCGACCTTTCGACTGAGCAGCACACCGCACCGCACCGCACCGCAGCGGTGCCACCGGCCTTTCTCATGCAAATGCCCTCCGCCTTGCCAAACACACCGACACACGCCCCACAACAGGACGTGGGTCTCTTACGGAACGATCAGAGAGAGAAAGAGATGAACCACCCCTGTAACAAGTATTCAAACGTCGACTAACGAAGTTCTAGCTGTCCAATTTGATGCCACGCAAATCGTTTCACTAGGCCGGCGCACATTATCATTGCGGCCCAAGTTGCCCACCCACGGAGACGCGATCTTCTTACACCGAGATGAAGCAAAAACCGCCAATCTCTAGAACTTACCTTTCTCTTCCGGGTTTGTTCGGGGATGATTCTTTGTCCCAAAGAAACAAAGCGACACGAGTTACGAATCAGGACCAAAGTAGCCACCGCTCAGGAGGGTCTTCATTGTGTCACCACATTCAGAATACTAGGTAACTACTGTTGTTGTTTTTTGTTTGTGGGAGTTGGATCACCACTTCCTCTAAATTTGAAATTTTACATTCATTAGGCGCAAACTTCGCAAAACACCTGTTTAGGATCTCAAAAATAAAGGTACTGTAAGGTTTCTTCGTTCTTCTTCTTCTTCGTTCTTCTTCTTCTTCGTTCTTCTTCTTCGTTCTTCTTCTTCGTTCTTCTTCTTCGTTCTTCTTCTTCGTTCTTCTTCTTCTTCGTTCTTCTTCTTCTTCGTTCTTCTTCTTCTTCGTTCTTCTTCTTCTTCTTCTTCTTCTTCAATTTTTTGCAATTTTTGTCCGGACGTGTCGACCCATCTCGAGGCGAGATGTGATATACGCCTCGTCCCCTCGTGCCGTTGCATCTCGTCTCATCTCGTCGTGCCGTTGCATTTCAAGTCGCATCTCGCCACGTAAGGTCACGAAGTCACGTCAAGTCACTTCACGGCTCGTCACGACGCGTCTCGCCACGTTGCGCCTCGTCAAGTCTTGCTTCGCCACGTTGCGAGTCGTTTCGTCACATCACGTCTCGTCACTTCGCTTCAGGTCTTTCGCGGCGCAGCACGTCTCGTTTCTCGACGTCATGTCTCCTCATGCAGTGGCATAGCACGTCCCGTTTCGTCACGTCACGTCATGTCATGTCACGGGCGCCCCGCCGGCAGCGGCCGTGCATTGCGCGACCTTCGCTTGGCGGCGTAGAAGATGCGACAGCCCGCGGCGCCACTCGCAAGACCACTCGGAAAGGAGGAGAGGGACTACTTGGACAGGGGGTCATCCGCGGAAGCACAACTGTTACGTGCGCGGCTGCTTTCCGCTTTGGGCGCACAGACTGGCGCCTCCACTCGCACCTCTGGGCCTTGGGTTCGCTTCGAGGGGGAGCAGCGTTCATGGGGGTCAATGCTTTTCAACTTGTGTATAGTAGCATGCATAGCATATAAGATGGATAAAGAAGAAGAGAGAGGGGGAAGAAACCGGAAGAGAGAGTGAGAGTGAGAGAAAGAGAGAGTGAAAAAGAGAGAGTGAGAGAGAAAGAGTATTGTGTGACAGAGAGAGTGAGAGAGCAAGAGAGAGTAAGAGAAAAAGAGACAGTGAGAGAGAGATTGTGTGTGTGTGTGTGAGTGAGATACAGAGACAGAGAGAGAGAGAGAGAGAGAGAGAGAGAGAGAGAGAGAGAGAGAGAAGCAGGAAGGGAAAAGGAGGGCCTGAGCGTGCAGAGTCGGATAAATAAGGACATGGACGAG